TGACTCAAGCGTTCTTTTCCTGGTCATCAGGATGGTCATCTGGTTGGTAGGACCATTGTGGTATTAACAGGGACGAGACAAAGGAACCAACCTTGTTCTGCCAAATGCAACCAGCCTGATCTGAGTTTCTGCAGAATCTAATGGCAGGCTGGGCTACGGGGAAAGGCGTTATCAGCCTGCACGTCAGTGGAGTGGGCACCAGCGGGCCCTCTGGCTGGTAAGGGGCGGCTTGTATTCCCACTGGGAAATCCCTTCATCACTGAAAGGCTGGGATTTTTGTGGTTCCCTGGCAGATGAGGGTCACCCTGTGTTAAGTTGCTTTGGTGGGTGTGCGTGGCCCTGTCTCCTGGGGCGTTCTGCTAATAGGCAGAAGATGTCTGCGTGCCAGTGGCAGAGGGCTCCCTGGAAGGTCTCTGGCTTCCCATCTGACCCTCCCCGGTGAGAGCAGACAGGCTAACCCTGCAACCCTCTCTCCTACTTGTCTGCGAGATGACCCTTCTCCACTCTGTAGGCCCGGAATGACTTTTCCAAAAGAGCCAGCTGGCTGCTGCGTTAGACGGACTTGCTAGGGCGTGAGGCTCGGGTTTCATGTTTGTTCAGGACTGCCATTGAGCTTTTCCCTCTCTATCTTCACAGATTGAATGCCAGAAAGAGAGTATTATAAGATGTCAAGGCTGGAAGGGGGGTTCCCGTTCTTTCCCCACATTGCTGCATATTAGAGATGTGGCCTAGAAAGGAGAAAAGACTTGTCCACAGAGACACAGCCTGGTGAGGCTGAGGTCAGCTCTGGAACCAGGTCTTGTTCGAAGCAATTATTGTTTCCACTTCGCCTGTCCGGTAGACCTGCTGGTCTGCAGTTTATTGAGCTGAGAGAAAGGCAGCCTTGCATCGAACAAGAGAGAGTCAGTGGCGCAGACGGGCCATGGGTTTCTCATGGCCGACACCTTTCATGCCAGTAGCCCTGCTACTGCTCTGCCACCGACTCCTTGGCTGCCTTGTGGCCAGGCATCTTAATTCCTTGGGTCTTAGCTCTGCATCAGCAAATAACAATGAAAAAGGCAAGTTCACAGTTATGAAGCGGATTCCAAGTCATAGTTACCTTAAAGGACAGAGCTGAACCACCCCTGTGGGTTTATGCACAACCTACAATGCACCAGGGCGCCTGCAAATAGGAACATTCATTCCCAAATTACCCTCTAATGCAGCAGTTCTCAACCTGTGGGTAGCAAAATGACAGTGATGAAGTAGCAATGAAAATAATGTTATGGTTGGGGGGTCACCACAACATGAAAGGGCCGCGGCATGAGGAAGGTTGAGAACCACCGCTCCCATGGCATTGAAGCTAAGAACCACCGCTCCCATGGCATTGAAGCTAAGAACCACCGCTCCCATGGCAT